CAGGAAGGGCTGTGTTCCGTGCCCGACCACATGGAGGGTTGTCAGAACTCAGTGGAAGGTGGGACTCCTCTCTGTGGGCCCGATGCTGCTGCAGACCCCCTGCTCATGGCTCGGCCTGGGTGGGGTGGCTGCCATGCTGGCTCTGGGCAGGGACCTGGCTTTGTCTTATTATTTATGGAGAATTTCCTGTGTTTTGAGCCTTGGGCGAGACTTGGGGACAGAGGTAAGGGGGGGGTCCTATTCAGACAGGCCCTAATGTGCTCCCAGGCTTTTCAGTGACAAATAACAACAGAGAGTTGCTGTATGGCACTAGGTGTGGAAGAAGGAGACAGTGGGAACTGGAATAATCAGGGCAGGCTTCCTGGAGGAGGAAGGATCTCCTCAAGGGGCTGAGTGTCACAGGGAGGAAGCTGGAGGGAACCAGGGTGGGGGAAGCACAGGCAGTTGACTTAGAGTTTTCCCTTGTGTCCATTGGCATTAAGCTAAAGAATTGCTTTCTCCCTCCCCCCTTCCCCTCTCTTTCCTTCTTTCCTTTCACACAGATTTCTCAGTGCCCAGCACATGCCCAGCACAGAACCAGTCGCTTCTGAATCAGGCCCTCTTTTGTTCTGGTGGAACGGGGAGGCGTGGTGTTTCTGAACTTGGAGGGTTCAGGACGCAGGGTGGTGAGCTGGAGCAGCTCCAGGAAGTGCAGGGAGGGGGCCTGTGGCCCAGACCCCACCCCAGGGTGCACTCCTCCTTGCCCTTAGAACAGGGCTCAGGCTGGATGAGGGACTGGGAGCAGGGATGCTCTTTCTATTAATAGAGAAATAGATTCCCTGGGAGAGAAGGGTGGGCAGAGCCCAGGAGCCATTCACTCACATCACATCATTTATTTCCGTGAACCGGGCAGGAGTTGCAGGCACTGCAGGCGGGGATGTAGCAATATCAAGAGGAGTAGGACAGGATTCCCCTCAAGTTGTGGTCCGAGTGGGGAGAGGGTGTGCTAGGGTTTGTGGGAGCTAATTGGTCAAGCCCTTTCCCCGAGGACGGGAGTCATGCAGGTGGAAACCAGACAGTCACTGGCAGCTGGGGCGGAGCATGGCTCCCGATGACCTGCTCCCTGAGTTCACACTGTGCAGCCAGCCCAGCTTCTGCCGCCAGCGCGGGGCCCAGGGGTGCCTCCCGTGAGTGGGGGGCATATAGGAAGGAGGGAGAGATCTCAGGTTCTCCCTCACCTTCCCCTTGGGAGGTGGAGGCATCTAGACTCACACTCCCCAGCTCTGCCGAGCACCTGGGCTGGGCTGGGACCCCCAGAAGCAGAGGGGACAGGACTGAAATAAGTGCTGAAGGGAACATGGAGACACCGGGACCATGAGGTCCCAGCAGGTCGGGAGGCTTGGCCCAAGGAAGGCAGAGGACGGGCCTGGGGTGGCCCTGGAGCCCTCCCTGGGCCTGGCTGTCCTCACTGAGCCCTGAGGGGCTGGCCTGCTGGGGAGCCAGGGGCCTGAGAGCCCCTCAGAGGCTGCAAGCAGGAGGAGCCTGCGGGTCCCCCCAGCCCCAGGCCCCGCCCCATCCCGTGCAGGGTCAGTCCCTCTGCTGCTGCCCTTTGTTTGGGAGTTTGGGAAAATTCCGTTCCCTTAGGTTTGGGAGAATAAAACAGCTCAGTGAGAGCCGGATCGGGGTTTAGAAGTAACAGCAGCGATGCCTGGATCTGGTTGTTTTGTGGTTGTGGTTCTTCCTGGCTCAGGCCCTGGTTGCCGAGGGAGGATTAGGTTAGACCTGGGGGAAGCGTGGGCGCCGGCTTGTCAGGACTGGGAAGGGCCCGAGGCAGGTCCGGAGCCCTCTCTGTGGCCCTCAGTGGTGGAGGTGGCCGGGGAGGGCAAGTGGGCTTCACCCATCCCCCCAGCTCCCTTCATTCCCCTTTCACAGGAGAGAATGTTCTGGGAAATGCCCTGAGCTGTTGCCGTGTGGAGATGATCGTGTGCTCTTCCCTCTCTGCATCCCTTCCTGCCTAGTCTGCCCTCCCCTGGAGCAAGGGCTAGAGAGGGAGGTGAAGACGGGGTTGGGAGAGAGTGCGGGAGGGAGAGGGAAGGTCAGGGAGAAGAGACCGCCTGGGTGGAGCTGCAGCCACAGCCGCCCTGGGGCTCCCCGGGAGAGGGGTCCCCTAGCTGTCCCAGGTGTGAGCTTTCCTGGCTGTTTCCAGCTTGGAGGGTGGTGGTCTGAGGGCTCCAGCCTCCCCACCCGGCACCCCTCCCCCTGCTGATGGAGGCAGCCGCCCCCTGCTCTCCCGACTCCTTTCACTCACAGGGTATTTTTACTTTTCCCTTGTCCCTGGTTCCTGTTACATGATCAAAGGAAGGAGGGGAGGCTGAAAGAGGCAGCGGTTTGCTCATCTCTGTGGAAAGCTCAGAAAAGGCAGGCCTGTGGGCCCGAGGGAAGGGTGGGGCCCGTCTCTGGGGAGGGAGGCTGGGGGCAGCCCCACCAGCTTGGGCAGGACCCTGTCCTTGGGCTCCTGATTCTAATCCTGCAGGTATTTGCCTTTCGCCTCACTGAGGTCTCCTTCCCCAAGTGGACGTGTCATTTCCGTGTGTGTGTGTGTGTGGGGGGGTATATGGTGTGCATGGGGTGCCCGTGTGTGCACGCTGCCCAGCCACAGGTGCTCAGGCTGCAAGGAGAAGCCAGCGTGAGCCCTCAGGGAGGACCTGAGCCTCAGCAGGGCCTGCCAGCTGCCGTGTGAGGGCCTCCGGCCTGAGTGCACTCGGTCTGCCATGATGCTCCAAATCCCTCAGGAAAACCAGGCCTGAGCTCCCAGGCTGTCAGAGCTGGCAGTGGCCCTTGTGGTGGCGTGGCAGGGGCCTGGGCAGCCTGTTCAGGCTCTGTGTCCCCGGGCTCTTGTCACCAGCTGAGGTTGGGTGCCTCTGCCTCCTCCGCTGGGTGATAGGGACAAAAGTATCCCTAGCTCACAGGGAGGCGAGCATCGCCTGAGGAAATGTAAGCAGAGCACTTAGGACAGTGCCTGGCACAGAGCAGTAAGTTGTCATTTGCTGTTATTTCTCCTCGGGGCACTATTGGCATTTGAACAAGACCGTGTTTCACTGTGCGGCTGTGCCCAGGGCATCGCTGACCGCTGTCTGGAGGCAGGCTAGTAGGTGACTCCCTCCCATCACGGTGACAGTTGGAAATGCCCCTGCAGGGACAGGGTGTCCCCCGACTGGATTTTCCTCCAACCCACCCATTTTACAGATTTTGAAACTGAGGACTCTCCAGGGGACATCCTGGCCCCCAGCAGGCAGTGGCAGGACTGTGGCATCTGTCTAAGCTTTCTCCGGTTTCTCTATTTGAATTGCCTAGTATTGGCATCAGCAACTAGGTCCCCACATCCTCTCAGTCCCCACAGCCACCTGGGAGAGGGCTCTGATGAGCTCACACGGAGGTGTGAGTGATGATGACAGCTCCATTCAGCTGTAGCCACCCCCTCTCCTGTATTTTAGCAGCTCTTACGCCTCCCCAAAGCATAGACGCCAGCCCTAGGTCACAGGGTTCTCGGGGCTCTGTGTGACTGGTGCTGGCTTTGAGTCCCGGACCCACCCTGACTCGTTCTGTGCCTTTGGGATGCCACTGGCTCCGGGTTCACCTGCAGAATGGGGCTAAGGAGCATCCACAGTGTGTCCTTGGCCTCTGAGGAGCCAATGGGAGGGAGCATTTTGATGAGGGGTGAGATGGGAGGGTCCGGAGGCGCTTGCCAGAGAGGCCCGGGAGCTGAGGCTGGACTCCCAGGTTCTGTACCCTCTCCTATCCTCCTCTGTCCCAGAACTGGGGCAGCCTGGGCCTCTGTGGGGGGCTGGCAGGTGGGGGGGGGTGGCTCTGAGACCACATGCTCCTGGGAAACCTCCTAATCCAAACACAAGCCCTTGTTCCAAACGGCTAGGGAAACCGAGGCACACACAGGCATGTGGCTTCCTGGTCTTCATTTGACAACCTCACGAGGAAGGGGGCGTGGGCTTGGCGCTCCAGCCCAGCCCTGACTCAGCTCCCAGCATTCTCCCTGTGGCCTCCTAAATTGAGGGGAGGGAGGTTGCTGGCTTTCAGCAGGGAGGTTGGGGGAGGGAAGGAACCCCAGGGGAAATTAGCCCAAATTAGCAGAGAGATGAGGAAGAGCTGGTGTTCTCTCCTCTCCCCTTGCAGATAAATATTTAATCACAACAACAATAATAATGACGATGATCCTAATAGTGTGCAGTAGCTCAGGCTGTAACCGGAGCCCCACTCTCAGAGGAAGGAAGTGGGGGAGAGAGAAGGAGCAATGGAGAAGTTGAGAGATAAGATGGGTGGAGAAAGGGAGGGGGAGGGAGGCCACCAGGAGAGGGAGGCTGGCTGCTCACTCAGGAGGCCCAGGGTTTGATCTCTGCCTTGGGCTGCTGGGCAGCTGGGGTGGAAACAGGAAACAGGAGGGTCCACCCCTGAATCCAGAGGAGAATCCTGACCCCTCAACAGCCCCCCAGCTTCTCCGCAGCCCTCAGAGGAGCAGCTCCCAGCTGATTCCTTCTCCAGGAGGTCCTGTCGGCCTTCCTTGTCTCTGAGTCCCAGGAGCCTGAGTGTCTGGTCCCAGAGCTGGGGGCTGGGAAGCCGGGTGCTAGGCGATGTTCTGCTGGTCACTACCTGTGTGACTTGGGCAAAATGCCCTCCTGCCCTGGGCCTCAGTCTCCTCATCCCTAAAACGGGGTTGTGCCCAGTGGGACTGGTTTTTTGCTTCTCTGTCGTGTGGGAGAGCGTTGAGGGAGGCCCTTGTTCCTCCCAGGCCAGCCCAGGCTGTCCCTGGGGCGCGTGCTCACTGATGCCCAGGCTCCTGATGGCAGTGGGTACAGGCCTCGAGAAATGTTCAAACATGACCCAGTTTCTGCCTTAAGCTCTCCCATTTGACTCAAGTTGAGCAGCAGCCAGGAGGAAACCGGATGAGATTTGTGGAGTCTTTGGCGATAACCTCCCGCATCTCCTCGCAGGCTCCTGACAAGAGATCAGAACAGCTGATGTCTTCTCTGGGCTTCTATTTGATTCTCTCTTTCTCTCTCCCTTCTAAGGTTGGTAGGAGGAGAGCATTGGAGCTGTTTTCTCTTTGATGCCAAGACATGCCAAGCTAGGAGCACGCTTCTCTGTTCAGTCATCCAGCAAGAACAGGCCTGCAGGACGTGGGGACCGAGACCCGAGCTCTGCTGCCCCGTGGCCCCGTCTGTGGGCAGGGCCTGTGGGGGCAACTGAGCGCTGTCTGGACGGCAGGGAGCACCAGCATGGCTTACCCTGCTGGCAGCCCTCGGCCACCCCGCTGCTGAAGCCACCCCGGAGAGACTTGTGGGGGCTGCTCTGCTCATGCTCACCCAGGCTGGGGGGCCCGGGGCCTGCCAGGGCTAGGAGCGGGGCTGCCGTCCATGGATCTCTAGAGATTTCCAAGATGCCTGGGAAGAGAGGCTGGGGCTGGTGGTGGGCCCGGCTGCCCTTTTGCCTGCTCCTCAGCCTGTATGGCCCCTGGGTGCCTTCCTCCCTGGGGAAGCCCAAGGGCCACCCTCACATGAATTCCATCCGCATCGATGGGGACATCACACTGGGGGGCCTGTTTCCGGTGCATGGCCGGGGCGCGGAGGGCAAGGCCTGTGGGGAACTGAAGAAGGAGAAGGGCATCCACCGGCTGGAGGCCATGCTCTTTGCCCTGGACCGCATCAACAACGACCCGGACCTGCTGCCCAACATCACGCTGGGCGCCCGCATCCTGGACACCTGCTCGAGGGACACCCACGCCCTGGAGCAGTCGCTGACTTTCGTGCAGGCGCTCATCGAGAAGGATGGCACGGAGGTCCGCTGTGGCAGCGGCGGCCCGCCCATCATCACCAAACCCGAGCGTGTGGTGGGTGTCATTGGTGCTTCAGGGAGCTCCGTCTCCATCATGGTGGCCAACATCCTTCGTCTGTTCAAGGTTAGTGGCTGCCGCTTCGCGCCAGAGGTTTCTTCCACAAACACGGGGCCAGGCCTGGCCAGCTCCCTTCTCCTCTTCCCTGCCCGACTCCCAGAGGGAAGAGTTGTTTCCTTGGAGCAGTAGCTGAACGCTTGGGGCCTGTCCCATGCAGAGAACAGACCCCGCAGGGCGAAGGTGTCGGGGCGGGACCCAGCGCGGTGGTGCTGACCGTGGTGCTGAAACAGCACCGGCCGCGGGCAGCTCCTTGATCAGTTCCTCTCAGCGGGGAATTCCGAACTAAGAAGGGAAAAGGAAATGCCCGTGAGCCACGGAAGGGAGGAGGAGATGTGCAGACCGAGATAGAAGGAGACAGACAGATAGAAAGGTGGACAGATGGAAATAGGAATGTTTCCAGAGAGGAAAGGAAGGCTGCGGTTTTGACATTGTTTTCAAATAATTGCAATTCCCAAGAAAGATGTGTTTTTCTTCTGGGTCACTGCGCGAGCCCCGCGTGGCCCTCCCGCTCCGCCCCGAGATCATGGTTAGGAAGTGTGTGCTGGTTTGGCGTGGGGCCGCTGAGCCGCAGAGCATGGAGATGAAGATGGAAAAAGGCCTGGAGCGAGCAGGCGGTCCCTGTTTCTGGTGCCCTTGGCCCTGAACCAAGCTTCCCCCACTCATTTCCTCCCTCTGCCCTTCCTCCTTGCACACCTTTCTCCCTTTCCTTCTGGAATCCCTCCCTGCCCCCTCCCTGCCAACTCCCTTCCTCTCTTCCTGGGGCAGGAGCTGCTGATTTGCAATTCAATTGGAGCCAAGTGCTTCGCTAAGCTGGTAAAGCAACTGAAAGCTACCGGGTAGAGAGAAAAACATTACAAGCATTTTACCAATAATTATGTGCCTGCTCCTCTCTCGGAGCCTCCTTGTTTGCTCTGTGTTTGTGTGTGTGTACGTGTGCGTGCGTGTGTGTGTGTGTGTGTGTGTGTGTGAGAGAGAGAGAGAGAGAGAGAGAGGGAGAGAGGGAGAGAGGGAGAGAGAGGGGAGGGTGAGGAGGAAGGGATGCAGAGAGGAAGCCACGGGGTCCCTCCTTCACTCTGGTGTCAGATTCTCAGCCTCTGGAAGGACTTGGCCCCTTCTCTCCTCAGTCTCCAGAGTTAAGGATGGATTGAGAGAGGCTGTTGGCTCCAAGCAGGGTGGGGAGTGCTGAGCCTAGAGCCCTCTCTCCTGTACCCTTTCTGGAACCCATTTGCCCAGTCCCAGCATGCATCAGTCCTTTGTGTTGTGGGGGCTGGGTCGAAGTGGGGTGAATAGTGCCGAAGATCCCTGTGCTGGGGCTGGGGGCTGGTGGGAAAGAAAGGAGGCTGGAGCAGCCGTCACCGCATGGGTAGGGCCGGAACTTTGCATGGTTGGCGTGGGCCCCTGTGCCATGTGGTTCTTGCCTTTGCACCTCCTTGGTTTTACTCGATGATCCAGATGAAAACACTATTCTAATCTGAGAACAAGTGGGTGCATTATGAAGAATGCAGAACGAAGAGGAAGGAAGTAGGAGACTTGAAGGAGGTGCTGCCCTGTCCCAGGACAGTCTGAGCAACGCTGGGAGGGGTGTTGCTTGGCCCATTCCTTGGTGGGATGGTTGGGAGTGGTAGTTCGGTCCAGCCCTTCCACCTGCCCACCTTAGCTGCAAGGCTGGGAGACCCAGAGTGGGTGGGGCCAGGGCTACCTGAGTGGGCACATCAGCCTGCCTGCTGAGGAGGTGAGAACTGGGCCATCTAGCAGAGGGGGCAGTGCCCGGACTCCTCGTAGGCCTGTCTGGGTGGGGCACCGGCCCCCAGCCTCCCAGAAGGCCAGGGCTTGGGTGGGGCTGCGGCAGCTTCCACGTCTGAGCTTTTTATCACACGCCACTGCAGGAAGATGGCAAACAGCCTGTTTGGGCCCTTGGGACTGTGACATGGGTGAGGGTCCCTCCCACCATCTCCCAGAGGGGCGGCGGCGCCTACAATGGAGGGAGGTGGGAAGATCAGAGTTGAGAGGGGTCACTTGACCTGGCCAAGCTCTAAGGAAGGCCACTGTCAGCGTTAGACCTTGAAGCATGTTCTTGGGCACATGGGTGCTTTGGGATGAGGTGCCTGGCGTCCCATACGGTGGGCTGTCACTTCTGCGATAGCTGTTCTCTGGATGGGGAAGGTCTAGGTGGGATAAGGGGGCCTGGGGCCAAGGTGCCTCACCAGCCTTCTCTCCTCTGTTCATCTGGTCACAGAGAGCGTGGCCTGGCCGGGGCCTCAGTTTGTGCCTCCTCAAGTTGCGGAGACATGAGTGGGTTGGGTGGGGATCAGGAGTCCCTCAGGCTGCGAGGAGGGGACAGGTGAGACAGGAAAGGAAGGGGGCGGGGAGCGGTGGGGAGAGCCGGAGGGAGACTGATGGCTGTGGTCTGCACTCCCTGGGTCCCTTTTAACGGTGTTAATGTTCCAGGCTGGCGACACGAAGGCTCCTCAATAATTAAACGGACAGACATGAGAGGCTGGGCGAGAAACTTAAAAGCCATTTACCGAGGAAAAAGGTTGAACTTTGGGGAGGGAGGTCAGGAGCTAGAGCCTCAGGCAGGAGAGGATGAGGGAGGGGGTCCCCCGGGGAGCTGCCGTGCCAGGTGTCTATTTCGAAGAGCACCATAGCGGTCCCTGCCTGGCTCCTGCTCCCACCCAGGCCATTACGGGGCCTGCTGGGAACGTCTCCAAAGGCTGTGATGGCGGCTCTTCTTCCTCCAAGAGGTGGATTTCCTGTGCTCGGCTCAAAGCGGAGCTCTGGCTTTGGGGACACTGGGAGTGGTTTCCTGCCTAGAGGAAGCTAATGGGGTGCAGTCAGGGTGTGAACAAAACTCATAACTGGCAGAGCTGGAAGGGGCCAACTCCTCATCCTGCAGATGTGGAAACTGAGCCCTGCTTAGGTGGCAGGCAAGGCGGGAAGTCAGGTCCCCAGCTCCCAGGCCTGACTCCTTGCAGACTGCCCCCCAAATGAGCCAGGCTGGAGTAGGACTCAATCCCAGGCCTTCTTTGGGGATCAGAAGCCCTGACGTTGGAAAGTCAGGAACCTGACAGCTTATCTCCCTTACCTCCCTGCTCCCACCCCCTCCCTCATCCTCATTTTGGCTCTGTTCTCCTAGGAGAGGGGATATGAATGGGTATGAGGAACACCTTTTGGAGGAGATCCTAAGCCCAGAGGATGTGGCCTGTACAATGCTATGTTGTGGGGACAGCCCAGGTTCTGGAGCCAGTGAGGCCTGGGTTTTTATATATATGCTAGAAGCCCGATGCATGAAATTCGTGCAGGGGCTTTGGCCCCCACCGCCATGGCTTCATCCGGAAGAACTTCTGATCTGATTAGCATATTAGGCTTTTATTATTATAGATATATTTTATTGATTTCAGAGGGGAGGGGAGAGGGATAGAGAGATAGAAACATCAATGATAAGAGAGAATCATTGATTGGCTGCCTCCTGCATGCACCCTGCTGGAGATTGAGCCCACAACCTGGGCATGTGCCCTTGAACAGAATCGAACCTGGGACTCCTCAGTATGCAGGCCAATGCTCTATCCACTGAGCCAAACTGGCTAGGGCGAGGCCTGGGTTTGAATCTCTGTTCTGCCAGAGTTACCTCACCATATCCACTCACTATATCAGTCATTTATACCATAGTGTGAACGAGCCAGTAAGATCTTTTCCCGAGAGCAAACATTGTTGGGGAGAGAAGAACATACACTAAGTGCCTTGGAAGGAAGCACTTGTCAAATCCTGGACCTGTAAGAGCACAGAAGGATCCAGAAATCATTTCATTGAGTCCCTTATTCATTTCACAGTGGAGAAGAAAGCGGAGGCTCGAAGAAGGGGAGATTGCACAGGGTGCTGGCTAAGAATCTGGACGCTGGAGCCAGACAGCCGTTGCCACCTGGGCCAATTGTTTAGTCTGTTGTGCCTCAGTTTCTTCATTTGTAAAATGGGGATGATAATGGTCTCTTAGACCAGGTGTGGGAATTAAGAGTTCATGTCCACAAAAGGCCTAGCGCAGTGCCTGGCACACAGTCAGCCCACAGGAAATGTCACTGCACAGCTTGTAGCTGGGCCTGAAGTCAGCATGGGAGACTCGTCCGTGCGGAAGAGGCTGGAGCGGGTGGGCAGTGACAGACGGTGACCTTTGAGGCTGATCCTGGGCAGGGCCCACCATCTGCTGGGCCTCTCGCGCCTCCCTGCAGAGTGTTGAGACCGAGCGGCCAACGTGACTTTTGGATAATGAGAGTTCTCGCTGTCACAACAGTGGGGCGGAGTGGAGGGAGGGAGGGCATGAGGGACAGGCAGCAGAGAGGGTGGAGGAGCGCCAGCCCGCGGGTGGGTGGGCAGGTGCCCCGCTTCCCAGGATGTTGGTGACTACATTAGCCCTCTGTGCACCGCCCCTCCCCACCTCCCCTGGCCGTGCATGTCCTCCTATCCCACCGGGACCGTAAGTGCTGGAGAGGTTCGCGGCTGCTTTAGAGAAAGTTGCCTGCACGGTGCTTGGCTTGTCTGCTCCTCAGCGCCTAGCCCGGGGCTCCTGGGGATACTTTGCGGCTTAGCTAACACCAGCTATTCTGTTGAGGATGTGGGTTTTGTGTCTTCCAAGTATTTCCACTGCACAACTGAGAGAAACTTTCGAGAGAGCCCAGCACTCTTCCGCAGCCTGGCCATCTTCCTGGAAGGCAGCTCCAGCTCCCAGCGCCAGGGCCAGCAAACCCGGCGGCACTTGACCACCTCCTCCTACTGTCCACAGCCTCTCCTTGCAGAGTGTGTCCTGGAGATGAGCACTCCCCCCTCCCGCCCTGGGTCTCGCCCAGGCCATGCGGGAGCTCCTCCTGCCTCTCCCTGGGCCTCCAAATGGGGCAGCAGATCTTTGCTCAGTGCCCTGAGGCCCGGGATCTTTCTGAAAGTCCCCGCACATGGCCCTCCCACCCTCACCTCCACCCCCTTCAACTTTTCGTTGACTTCCTGCTGCTCTTAGATTA